CAGACTTTAGCCCACCTCGTGGTTGGAAAAGGAGTGGTTTCCTCGATAGATTGCATCTTATAGGGGGGCACTGCTCTGAGCTTGGCCTGTACTGAATGCTTGCTGTTGGGTGTCATGGCTTATGATTGCTACTTGGCCATCTGCAACCCCTTGAGATATGCCTCTTCCATGGACAGGAAGCATCAACATCTGCTTGCCATCTCCTGCTGGATCATAGGCTGCCTCCTCTCAATGGTCACTATTGTTTGAATCTTTGGTCATTCCTTCTGTGGTCCCAATCAAATTAACCACTTTTTCTGTGAGGTGCATTTTTTGCTAGACCTTGCATGAGATGACGTAAACCGCACCAGAGACATAATTAATGGTCTATCAGTATTTGCAGTTCTGGTTCCCTTTTCAATTATCTTGCCTTCCTATTGTTGCATCCTGCATTCAATTTTTCAAATGCAGTCAGTTGCAGGGCGTTATAAGGTTTTCTCCACCTGTGGCTCCCACCTTGCTGTGGTCACCTTGTTCTATGGAACCATCATGTCTATATACATAATCCCCCAGTCAACCTCATCTCCTGATAAGAACAAAAAGGTTGCGGTTTTGTATCTTGCGGTCACTCCCCTGCTTAACCCCATCATTTACACTTTGCGGAATAAGGATATCCACAGGGCTGTGATCAAGGTGTGGAAAAGAAGGAACTTTGAAGAAAAACCATGAAGAGTCTTATCTTGTTGAGTTCACCTCTTTTGACTCTTCCTTAAAGTCACTATCAAGATGTCACTAAAATAATTCAACTGTTTATTTCTGAAAAGTTTTCTGAAACATCAGACATGATTATCAATTGAATGGAATGCAATTTAACTCTGATTCCTCTAACTTTGTTCAAAGAAAAGCTTGGAACAAAAAGCTATGAAAGCTCAATGTTTTTAATTACTGAAAAGCTACTGCAGAAAAGGAACAGCAGCATTCTCATTCATTAGAATGAATGGGATGGAAGGGACCTTGGAGGTCTTCTAGTCCAGCCCCCTGATCAAGCAGGAGAACCTATATCATTTCAGACAAGTGACTGTCTAGACTCTTCTTAAAAACCTCCAGTGATGAAGCACCCACAATGTCTGAAGGCCAGCTGTTCCACTGGTTAATTGTCCCCACTTTTAGGAAGCTTCTCCTTAATTCCAGGTTGCTTCTCTCTTTGATTAGTTTCCAACCATTGTTTTTTGTCCTGCCCTCCGGTGCTTTGGAGAATATTTTGACCCCCTATTCTTTGTGGCAACCCCTGAAGCAGGGGTGAAATGCTCCCGGTTCAGACTGGATCGCCCAAACCTGGGAGTCCAGGAGCGATAGAGATAGGTGGTTCGGAGAACCGGTAGCAAAAATCCCTGCGCCCCCCCCCCATTGCCCAGTTGAGCTGCACGATCATCAGAGGCTTTTTTTTTTTTTTTTTACTTTTAACAGCATTTTTTCTACAACCTGTTTGGCCGAAAAAATGCTTTTAAAAGTAAAAAAAAAAAGCCTCTGATTATTGCGTGGCTCAGCTGGGATCATCAAAGGCTTTTAAAAGAAAAAAAACTTTTTTTCTTTTAAATGCCTCTGACGATCCAAGCTGAGTTGCCTGATTGGCAGAGGCTTTTTAAAAAGATCAGGCAAAGGTGGTCCATGTTTTTTTACTTCCATTTTTTAAGTGCTTTCAAAAGGCTCTGACGATCCCAGCTGAGTTGCTTTATCAGCAGAGTTTTAAAAACTCAGCTGGGATCATCAGAGGCTTTTTAAAAAAGCATCTGCCAATCAGGCAACTCAGCTGGGATCGTCAGAGCCTTTTGAAAGCATTTTTTACACAATCTCTTCACCGAAGTTGTTGTAGAAAAAATGGTTTTAAAAGTAAAAAAAAAAAACAATTGGCCACGCCCACCCAGTCACATTACCACCACCCCGCCACCAAGCCATGCCCACAGAACTGGTAGTAACAAATTTTAGATTTCACTATTGTCCTGAGGTGTTGCAATACTGCTATAATGTCACCCCTAATTCTTCTTTTCTTTAGACTAGCCACACCCAAATCCTGCAGCCATTCTTCATATGTTTTAGTCTCCAGACCTTTGATCGTCTTAGTTGCGCTTCTCGTGAACTTTTTCCAAAGTCTCAACATCTTTTTTGCAGTATGGTGAACAAAATTGGTTGCATTATCCCCTGGGACTCCGGCTGGCTCCTGACCTCCGCACCTTCCACCATGAATTAAAAACATGGCTGTTTGTGGCACCTAGCCTGGACTGAGGAGGTTTTCGATTATTTTAATGGGGTTTAATATTTGTTTATGTATGTATTTTATGTTTTTATTGGTTTGTTTTAATTGTTGTGAGCCGCCCTGAGTCCTATGGAGATAGGGCGGCATATAAGTTATATTAAATAAATAAATAAATAAATAAAATTATTCCATGTGTGGTCTTAAGGTAAAGGTAAAGGTTCTCTTCACACATATGTGCTAGTCGTTCCCGACTCTAGGGGGCGGTTCTCATCTCCTTTTCAAAGCCGAAGAGCACTGTCCGAAGACATCTCCGTGGTCATGTCTAAATGCCAAAGGCACATGGAACGCTGTTACCTTTCCACCAAAGGTGGTCCGTGTTTTTCTACTTCCATTTTTTACATGCTTTCAAACAGCTAGGTTGGCAGAAGCTGGGACAAGTAACAAGTAGGGATTCAAACCGCTAAACTGCTGACCTTTCGATCAACAAGCTCAGCATCTTAGCCACTGAGCCACTGTGTCCCTATATTTTAAAAAGTTTTAAAAAGCAGTACTAATACTTGACATCATCTTCATTCTATGCCTCTGTTTATGCAACCCAGGATTTTATTAGGTTTTTTTTTTTTTTCTGCTGCTGGCCCATATTCAAGTGATCATCCACTAATACTCCAAGTTCCCTCTTACAGTTACTGTTTTTGAGGCAGGTCTCACCTCAATCTGTACTTGTACCTTTGATTTCTACCTTTTATCTCCATACCTTTTATCTCCATATCCTGTCTAATGTCTCTGTTTAATACATCCAATGTAAATATAAACAATATTGGGCACAGGGGACATTCTTGTCTTCTACCTTTTTTGATGCTAAATTCCTCAATTATATCTCCATTTACCATTATTTTCGTGATCTGTTTATGATATATCGCCTTGACTATGTTAACAAATTTCTTCCCAAAGTACATCTTTTTTAATTGGATTAACATAAACTGCCAGTTCTCATTGTCAAGTGCTTTCTGTGCATCTAAGAAAATCAGTGCCATTTGTTTCCCTGGATGTGCTTCATAATACTCCAAAGTAATATTTGACATCATCTTGATTCTATTCCTCTGTTTATACAACCCAGGATTTTATTACCTTTTTTTGTCTGCTGCTGCACGCTGCTGGCCCATATTGAAGTGATCATCCACTAAGACTCCAAGGTCCCTCTCACAGTTACTATTTTTGAGCTTTGATTTTTCCTGTCTAGATGTAAAACTTTGCTTTTCTGCATTTTAAAATTCATTTTGTTGGTTAGAGCCCATTCTTCAAGTTTTCAATATCTTTTTGGATCTTGAGCTTGTCTTCTGGGGTGTTGGCTATTCCTGCCAGTTTAGTGTCATCTGCAAATTTGAGGAGTTCCCCTTCTGTTCCCTCATCTAAATCATTTAGACTTAGTTTGTCTTTCCCAAGGGAATGCAGTCATTGTGGTGAGATTCTTGTACCATGATTGTGTAGCAATAAAATTTCTGTTTGAGACTCTTAACAAGTACTTCTGGTTGCTTTCACCTGACAATCATGGAGAATTTTCTCCTGAAGGACCTCTCATGAAAATTAAAAAATCATCTTAGTGTGACTGAACATTTAGTAACGAACATATATTTACCCTCCTATTTAGTCCACATTACCAGAACAATCATTCTAAATTGTCATGTATGAGAAGCCCAACATCTGTCCATATCTGTTTTCTCCCCTAATTCACTGAATTCCAAAACTCTTCATAATCCATACTCAGGGGAAACCAGCTCATGTCAACATAAAACTTTAACACAAATTGACGAGGTAAAAAATTATTTTCTTTACACATCATAACATTAATTATGAGGTTTAAAGAAGGAACAAAACATTTATAATGATTTATTGAAGAGGACCAAGGGGAGTGGAGTAATTTCCCTTAAGTGGGCCTCTAGTTGATAAAAGCTCCTCTTATATTAAAGAAGGAAGATCACATGTTCCCACTTCTTTTCAGGTCCTGAATAATTGTTTCATTAAGGTAAAGTATGTTTCAAGTTGACTTCAGCTCCCATGGATTTAACTGATACCATTTTCTTCGCAATCAATAACAATCTCTCTCTCTCTTTTTCTTTCTTTCTTTCTTTCTTTCTTTCTTTCTTTCTTTCTTTCTTTCTTTCTGTCTCTCTCTCTGTGTGTCTCTGTCTCTCTCTCTGTCTCTCTCTCTCTCTCTCTTTTCCCTCATGATGTTTTTTTGACTTCCACATCAAGCTATGGCCCCATTTCTATTAGAATCTATATCTCATATACAGCAACCAAAAACTTTCTATTCTGTACTAATCAAAGGGTACAATCCAGATACATGCATTGTAAATTAAGATTTTTTAGCTGACATTGTGTTAATAGAATAGAATAGAATAGAATAGAATAGAATAGAATAGAATAGAATAGAATAGAATATAGAATTGGTCAAGGGTGATTGGACATACAAGGAATTTGTCTTTGGTGCATATGCTCTCAGTGTACATAAAAAGACAAGATACACTCTTCAAGAATCACAAGGCACAACCCTCAGTGACAGTCATGTGCTATAATAAGTAATCAAATCATACTAGGAAACAATCAATGTCAATATAAATCGCAAGAATACAAGCAACAAAGTTACAGTCATGCAGTCACAAGTGGGAGGAGTGGGTGTACTGATTTCTCTTCCTCTTTCCTATTCATGTTTTGTGATTAAAATCATTGTCCATCATTATCTCTGGTCTATAGGCAGAATGCCAAGATGGGTGCTGAGAACGTCACTTCAGAAACAGGGTTCATCCTCTTGGGACTCACCTCTCATCGTAATCAACGCATTGTGCTTTTTGTGGTCTTCCTAATAATGTATTTGCTCACAGTTTTGGGTAACCTGCTAATTATCCTATTGGTGCACATGGATGCCCAATTGCACACACCTATGTACTTCTTTCTCAGTCACCTTGCAAGCTTGGACATAGCGTATGTCACTAGCTCTTTGCCTCAGACTTTAGCCCACCTCTTGGGTGGAAAAGGAGTGGTTTCCTTGAAAGGTTGCATCTTACAGGGAGGTAGTGCTCTGAGCTTGGGTTGTACTGAATGCTTGCTGTTGGGTGTAATGGCTTATGATCGCTACTTGGCCATCTGCAACCCCTTGAGATATGCCTCTGCCATGAACAGAAAGCACCAACATCTGCTTGCCATCTCCTGCTGGATCATAGGCTGCCTCGTCTCAATGGTCACTATTGTTTGCATCTTTCGTCATTCCTTCTGTGGTCCCAATCACATTAACCACTTTTTCTGCGAGTTGCGTTTTTTGCTAGCTCTTGCATGTGATGATGTAAACCGCACCAGAGACATACTTAATGGCTTATCAGTAGTTGTAGTTCTAGTTCCCTTTTCAGTTATATTGTGTTCTTATTGTTGCATCCTGCATTCAATTTTTCAAATGCAGTCAGTTGCAGGACGTTATAAGGTTTTCTCCACCTGTGGCTCCCATCTTGTTGTGGTCACCTTGTTCTATGGTACCATCATGTCTATATACATAAGACCCCATTCAAGCTCATCTCCTGATAAGAACAAAAAGGTTGCAATTTTGTATCTTGTGATTACTCCCCTGCTTAACCCCATCATTTACACTTTGCGGAATAAGGATATCCACAGGGCTGTGATCAAGGTGTTGAAAAGAAGGAACTTTGAAGAAAAACCATGAAGATTCTTATCTTGTTGAATTCATCTCTTTTGACTATTCCTGAAATTCACTATCAATATGTCACTAAAATAAGTCAGCTTTTATGTCTGAAAAGATTTCTAAAACATCAGACATGATTATCAACTGACTGGAATGCAATTTAACTCTGATTCCTCTACCTTTGTTCAAAGAAAAAAATAAAAATCTATGAAAGCTCAATCTTTTTTAGTTACTGAAAATGTATTACAGAATGCTTAATACTTTGAAAGGGTAAGAAAACTGGGACAATATTAAGAGAAATTTTCAGGGAAATGTTCTTAATTTGGTTCAAACTCATGATAAAATGACATAGCATTGCAAAGATTGTACCCTTTTCATCACTCACTGCAATTTAATCCTAATGGATTAAAAATTGTATCAGCTATAATAATATTGTACTGCTTAAAATATACTCCCTAACGCGAGATGAAAATGTTGTTTCTGAAAGATAACCCTGGGAAATGCTAAATAGGAATTACGATAAAAGCCTATGTCTAAAATTTGCCATATCGGCAATATCAGTTTTACTCTGGAAATGAAAAAAGATAATGACAAGAAAGTGAGGAAGATTTATAACCAAATCCAACAACACCAAAAATTAACAACAATGTCCTGAATTACAATATAAAAGATACACTCACACAATTTTGCTGCATATGCTCATAGACATATAGTCTTGCAATTAAAACTACTGTATGCTCAAAATGTAAGGTTTAAATTGGGGCCATCTAAAACTCAATCAGTTAGTTCGTAAAAGCCCAGGGGTTATCTTATCTCACCTTCTTCACTGAAGGATATTTTAGAACTAATCTTTGAAATAATCTGCTTCCTGACATTATTAACCAGGGATCTTCCCAAATTTATGAAAAGTTTTTGCTGTCCAGTATCGGAGGCAGAACACTGCAAGACAATATGGCTGGAGCAGGCAGGCTGGCATGTTAAGGGAAAGGGATGGGAAATTGGAGGATTAACGTCTTCTATCTGCATCTCTGTACTTCATTGAGTCTGTTGAAATGGGAACATTGAGATGCTGCTGTGTTTCCATGGCTTATTCTATTCTATTCATAATTTCCAAAAAGCTTAACCTTTATCCCTTTTAATACATAGCCTGTAGAAGTCTATATTTAGGCAGTATTCTTTAATATGTATTATGCAGACTTCTTTCATCCTAACCTGATCAGTGACTGGGAAGGAGTCCTTTGACTGACATAATGTGTATGCAAGAAAACAAAATAATGTTATGTTGTATATTGTAAATATTTGTATTATAAACTGCCCACAGCTACCTTATGCTTAGATGGGTAGTCAAGAAATTTAATAAAACAAATAAATAAAATAAACATTTTTCTTTATGATTGTGTTTTAATAGTTAAAAATAAATTTATTTAATTTCTTATTTTTCTTTCTTTATTTTTTTAAAAAAGATTTGATTTTGACTAAATGCTGGACAAAGACCCCAATATATTAAAATGATATCTTATATAAACTCAAAGTTATTAAAAAGATCTAACAAGTCTAGAAACATTTGTACAGCCTGTGGTAAACAAAAATTGTTGGCCTGTTATATTTTGCAAAAAGGATCATTTATTCCCAAATTGAATCAAAGGTAACTTTTCTGATATATCACATACATAATTTCATTGAAAATATTGGTATCTGTGAAGTTTGAGGGGTTATTTGAGTTTCATAATCTACAATTAATAGATCTCAAATAATAATGAGGAAATATTGTCTGGCTAGAATTTTTCTGCCCAGTATAGCTCTAGTACTTAGACTTAAATACCATTTGACAGTGCTTTACAGCCCTCTCTAAGCAGTTTAAAGAGTCAGCCTATTGCCCCTAACAATCTGGGTACTCATTTTACCCACCTCGGAAGGATGGAAGGCTGAGTCAACCTGGTGAGATTTGAACTGCCAAATTGCAGGCAGCTGGCAGTCAGCAGAAGTAGCCTGCAGTAATGCACTCTAACCACTGTGCCACTATGGCTCATATTAAGTAAAATTGGAATTCCATGACCCTCTGTAGTGCTAATTGAAAAGCAACTCCTCTCACAGTTCAACAACAGGAAGTAACTAAAGAGCACCATGTAGAATGTTCCTCCAACCCCTTCTATTCAACCCTCTGAAGAGTAAAATGTGTGGGAACTCATAGACATCATCTTCCTATTTCTTAGGCCAGGGGTGGGCAACTATGGCCTCTTTATCTTGTGTTCCTATAGTTGCATCCTGCATTCAATTTTTCAAATGCAGTCAGTTGCGAGACGTTATAAGGTTTTCTCCACCTGTGATTTCCACCTTGTTGTGGTCACCTTGTTCTATGGAACCATCATGTCTATATACATAAGACCCCGTTCAAGCTCATCTCTTGCTAGGAACAAAAAGGTTGCAGTTCTGTATCTTGTGATCACTCCCCTGCTTAACCCCATCATTTACACTTTGCGGAATAGGGATATCCACAGGGCTGTGATCAAGTTGTGGAAAAGAAGGAACTTTGAAGAAAAACCATGAAGATTCTTATCTTGTTGAATTCATCTCTTTTGACTCAAAGCCTCTTCCTTGAAGTTTTTACCAATTTGTCACTAATCTTATTTTAATTCATGAATTCAATTTCATGAAATTAACTGCTATGGTATTTAAAAAAGAACTAGGCTGATATAATTTATTCTTCTTCCTAAACTGCCACCCCCCCCCCCAATGATGTTTTGTGGATTACAAACTCTCTGTTCAATGAAATGTTCTACTGCAGGGGTGTCAAACTCAAGGCCCATGGGCCAAATCCAGCCGGTGGGGCCACCTTGGAAACAGCAAAGGACTGGCCAGCGATGCCTCTGCCAATGAAAATGGAGCTGCCTTACTGAGCTCCATTTTTGGCTGCAAAGGCCTTCTGCAACACTCTGCAAGGGAAAACAGAGCTCCAGAGGACAGCATGCAGCCCTCCCAAGTTTTTTTTTCACTGGCAGAGTGCTTGGACCACCACAGGGCCCCCGACATGAGTGATGTTGAGCTGGTCATGCCCCCTGGGCCCCCAAGGTCAAACGCAACAGTTATGTGGCCCTCAGTGAAATCAGGTTTGACACCCCCTGTTCTACAGCATCTTACGTATCAACACAAAAGCCACGAACCTATATTTTCTCCCATCCAATCCTTCCCCTTAGGTACTACAGGATAGAATAGGCCTACGTTCTACTGAGAGCTAAAATAGCAGGTTCAAGCTATGAGTCAATTGCCTTTTCAATGAATCAAAAGATAAGGTCTGATTTCCATCACAAAGATGCTGTACTCTGAGCCATGCTGTTTCTCATCTTTATGACTGCCCACAGAAAACTAAAAGTGTATTCTGAGACAATAATAAAATGGTGGAATGACTGGAAACAGCAAGATAGTTAACAAGGAACTTGGAACTAGATGTCTGTCAGGTTTCGATGTCATCTCTAATAAATTGCATTTCCAAACAAATAATCTTTGCTGAAATCTTCCATTTATTGTACAACAATACAAGTACAACAATTTGGTCCTGATTCCGTCGTAGCCGACACTAACCCTCTGACCCCAAACCCTTCCCTTTCCGTTCCCCAATTCTCAGCGTCTCATTGGCCATCTTCCAAGTCAGTCTCCCCACCTCCTGACTTCAACTCACAGGAATGTCCCCCCTCCCATTCCATCTCCTAGGGGATATTATCTACAGAGAAAATAAGTAGGTGAAAAGTCAAGCCTCTTCTCCATCTCTTTATGGCAGCATTAGAATGCTGACAATGTCACTGTTTGGGAAATATAAGCCAGGAGCAACCACCCAGCAGCATGGTAACCACTGATGGGATTCAAATAATTTAACAACTGGTTCTCTGCCCTAATGACCACCTGGCGAGTGTAGTGGGCGTGGCCATGGTGGACTCACCCTCCTGAGAGCAAAAATGGGTTGTACGGGGTACGTGCTGCTCCCCTGTACCCAGTTTTGGGTCTAGTAGGCCTCCCTGCAGCCTCCTGGGAGTGAAAACTGGCCAACAGGATCTCTCTTCAATGGAGAAGGTGGCCCTTTAACTCCTACAAGACCAATTTGAGCTGACTCTCTCAGTCTCTCAACTAAGACATTTAAGTGAATTTTGTCTTGCTTTAAGAGCTTTCCTGTCACAGTGGTTAAGTGAATCACTGCAGTTATTAAGTTAGTAACATGATTGTTAAGTGAATCTCACTTCCCCATTGACTTTGCTTGTCAGAAGTTTACAAAAGGAGAATCACATGACTCTGGGATGCTGTGACTGTCATAAATATGAGTCCGTTGCCAAGCTTCTAAATTTTGACCACATGACAATCAGGATGCTGCAATGGTTGTAAGCGTGAAAAATGGTCATGAGTCACTTTTTCAGTGCTGTTGTAACTTTGATCAGTCACTAAATGGACTGTTTTAAGTCGAGGAGTACCCGTAAGAGCTTGGTGAATATCAATTCCTGTACTATTTCTTATCTTCAGAATGTCGATTAAAATGAGGTGGGAGAATCATTGTATTGTTAACTCACAAAGCATCCCTGGCCATAGGCAAAGGGGATGGGAAAATGGCGAAGCAGCATGGCAGCCAAAAACAAAAGCACATTCTGGACATATCTCTCTCAAGACTGTCTCCCAGGGTTACCCACAGCGGCCGGAGGGGAGTGATCTCTACAACAAGCAAAATTGCTCCATTGGCGAATGTGACTGATGACACACCCTGGAGGGAGGGGGGAAACAGGGTCAAGATTGGGTTGTAAATTACGTGGGATCAGAGTTGGCTTCACTTGGAATGTGCTGACATGAAGCTCCTAATAAATGACTGGATTTCTTTTGAAGCTTGGCTCGAGGCTCATGATTTAATTAGGGCATCCGTCAGAACCCTGACATGTACTGTATCATGCAACTTTTCTCAATAAGATCCAGGGAGAAGATATTCTTACCATGGAGACTAAGGGCTCAACTTTGATTTATTGTATGTATTGGAAGAAATATCCATCTGGTTCAGTTCGAAGCCAGGAGAAAGACACTGGAAACATGGAAGCTGATTGGAAAGATGGTTTAATGATGAAGCAGAAAAACATCAGTGGTTCTGGTGCAGCTGACCACATGGAGTTGAGAATGAGGGGTATTTAAAACTTCTCTTGGGCTTTGCACTTGAACTTCCTGTTCCTGTACAAGAACATGTATTC